GACGATAGACAAGTTACCTCTGGAAAGCTGAGATTTGTTATGCTCTTCTATGCTGACGTAAATCTGTATATTGTAAGGCTTTTGCTATTACGTAGGCATTTAAAAAACAGAATAAAACCTTGCATGGAGTCTGAACACGGGAGCATTTCCCCCCAGTTAATGGACATCTTCCCGTAGGATGATCTTGAAAGACACTGCTCCCTTTCATGACACCGTTAGGTTTGGAAACTTCTGGCAAAAAGAAAACCATCTGGGGGACCCTCACTCCAACCTTTTATAGCATATGGTTGTTAACATATTTATATATATTAACTGGAATAAGCTGATATTTGATGCTTACCTTTTCCTGTCCTAAAACAAGGGAAGCAGAAAAATCAAGGGACAAACTTCAACCCTGAAACCAGACCATTCATAATTACCAAAATAGGGGTTGTCAAGGAAAACTTTTTTATTTCAACAAAACAGCATTTTTTTCAGCAGAAGGTATATTAAAAAAAATATATCCAACTAGCTATTACACAAAGATTCACAAAATGATAAAACATTTTATCATGATTCTGCACAAAACAGAGCAAAATGCCCTTCAGTTTTCAGTATAATTTTCTGTAATCTTTCGTTACTCCTACTTGAAGAATTAAAGTGACTGCTGAGTCATTAACAGTAGACAAAGAAACACATTGATCCACAAGGTGCTCTGTTGCCTATGACATAATTGTAATTTCAAGGTTTAACACAGACTTACCTGAGAAAGAGTGCAAGTTAAAGTATGTGTCTCACTAATTCTCTTACTGGACTAGTATAAGCAGCTTTTTACATAATGGTTTGTGTAGTCAATTAGCAGAGTATTAACTATAATAGATAACATTCTTACTAAGACCGTATTAATTAGAGCTTAAACACAGCTAATCTGAGACCTATATTGAATTTATATTATTATGTAAGCGTAATGCGTCCGTAGGCAAGTAATTTCCTTCATGGCATTTTTAAGGAAAAGGAAATCCTAGCATCTGAGATGTAAATATGCAAATTGTAACAGCTATTTGGAAACCACGTAACGTTTCTTAAAACTTGAGTGTGCCAGGCCACATTACATTCTTACAATAGTAAGAATATGAGCTGCAAAGGACACGGAAAACTGAATACCTTTTAAATTTATTGTAACAGAAGGAGTGGGATTGCTAGCTAAGAAAATCTCTGCAAGAATTTCATGGATTTATGTTACTGCTCCTCATTTTACCTTGTGTTAGACCCCAGTTCTGGAGTCCTCTTCAGCAAAAATAAAGCCTGGTGTGTCTCTATATCCGCATCTTTTATTGATCCACATGAATCCACCAGTTTTCAGACAAACATTCTCTGAAATTAATTAGGAATCCTGTCTAAATACAGATTTAAATTTATTTTTAGTTGCATGGGTTTGTGGCCTCCTTATCACTTTGTTCAGCAGTTCTGCAATATAACCAAAGCTTAATATGTCTCTGATAATATCAGCTACCTGAAGGAACCCCTTAGGCAAAAACGTATTAAATTTTTAAATCACAGATAACCATGAAACTAAGCAATTGCAAATTTACAAGCATAGCAGACTTCAGTACAATATCAGAAAAACGGTGTATTGCAATGAAATTAAAATGCCACCATCTTGACTTCTGCCACCGACAGTAACATCGCTGCTGTTAGTAGAAAAACTCCACTAATAATAAGCTGAAAGGGCCGCAACGTTCTGTTATCTAGTTACCCTGCTGAGAATTATTACCCATCTGTATGCCAGAAGACAAGTGCTTCTCATCGTGACTGAAGTGAAGTGGAATGAGGGCTAATATGCTCGTAAATGCTCATGCCAAGAGTCGTGTAAGTGACTGGGGGCTCACTAGGCAGGTTACATCTGTAACTTCAGACGCAGAGCTGACAACCTTTTGAATTCATCCTCCCCTCTCCCACTTTTATTGAAAAGCTATTTTCATATTTGCAGTATATTTTTTTTTTCTTTTTTTCCCCCCCCTTCTTTTTGTCACGGTAGCTTTTCAAATATTGTGGGATATTGAAATGTTAGCCATACTCTTCCATATCTAAAACTATCAGTCAGTAGTGTTTTAAAATCGTTCTTCCCAATTTATGCATCATTATTTTTGGAACATATACTTTAATTTCACCAACAGAGGTCAGTAAACCACTGAAAGAGAACCGTAAGTGTTGGGCAAGAACACACCCTCGTCAATCTTTCTAACATCCTTCTGATAGTTTTGTTCAAAGGGCTCTTGTTCGGTTGCCTCAGTAAATACAAGCTTAGTTAGCTAAAAAAAAAAAAAAGGCAAATGTATGCATATGCACGCAGGAGAATGAGTTTTATTAAGGAGATGAATTACATAGAATACTATATTGTTGAAGAGCGTTAGAATATATGTGAAAAACCTGTTATGAAGCTAGTAGCACACGTACATGCATGGATATGATCATCGCTGAATCAATTTGTCAAGGCTAAAACAGGCTGCGATTTAAACAGTAGTACTTTGAATGATCTGCAGAATTCTACTTTTCAAGCTTTGTGTTGTTGAAAACCAACCTAGTGTGGGGAGAGTACAAAGAGGAGGATCCCAGAGAAGTAACATTTAATGATATTAAAATAACAGATAGAAGCGGAGGAGAAACCAAGAGCTGTCACCGACTTGCTCATTTTGACAGTAACAGCTAATGGAACTATATTAACGCATCATTTTCCAACTTTCAACTGTAATGAAAAGCTATTTTTACAAATCATTACTTTCGGTATATGGTGTTTCAGCCACGTGGCTTCTATTAGTGTACAGGGGAGTTTCACAACTAAAGCTGCCTGTGCAGTACTGAAAGTGCACCTTTTATGTTGAGCTAATCCCAGAGGGGAGTCAGCACTCGCGCCCGTGTCCTTTTGACCTTTATCCTTTTAATGCATTTTGCCTGGGTAGCAAAAGGTGAAAACCTAGTTTTTATGTTGCAAAACAGACCGCTTCAACAGCATTTCTCTTTGAAGCTAAGGAAAGTAACATACGCTCCTGTGGAAATGTTGAAAGTCCCTAGTTCAGCAATCAACAATAGCTTTACACACGTAGGTTCAGACTCGCTTTTCTGGTAGCCCTTTGAAGCTCACCCGTACGGCCTCGCTACCACCCCTCTCAACAGCTGCGAGCATGTGCAGCCACTGGAGTGGAAGATGTTAATTATCAGCAGCTACTGGAATTTCTCCAGGGACTACTTGTGGTTAGAAACGTGTTTCCCTACGGAGCTGCACTAGGTGCTGGGATCATCTCTCCTGTAGCTGATCCGAGTCCTTCCTCTAAAGCAAAAGAGATAATCCATTAAAACTCCCAATCTTCACTTTTAAGTGTTCTTCTCTTAGGATGTGATTGCTTAGGAAAATCACACAATCTAAACTGTAAAATCCTTTATTTCTGTGAATAGAGTTCCAACAATAGGCATTTTCATGTATATGTGAGTTTCCCAGGGGCAAGGTTTAGCATATGTACAGATTTCAATTAAAACCTGGAGAAACAAGTCTAAAATGAAAAAGGGACAAAAATGGAAAACAGACAAATTGATGGACACAACTGTGTGTGTTTTTTTTTCTCCTGACAAGAGTCATTTGAACTTCCTCTTTACGGCCGAGAAAAAGCCATGCGCCTTCCTCCCATGTCGTCAGAAAACAGCACTCACAAAAATGGTCTTTCCCCTTCTGCTTTACCTCCTGCTATTCAGTGGCATTTTGAGTCTAAACTAGTTAGCTTCGGGAGCTTGATGTGATGTCAGCAAGTGAGATATTCCCCACGGGGAACCAAAATAATAGTAGATGAGCTGGCAGAAAGATCCCCAGAAAGGGAAATAACATAAAAACAACAGATTCTAAGCCTAGCCCTTTACCGTGACTACTACAAAGCACTTCTAATGACTGAACACATCCTTAAATGGACCTTGTAGATCCCCCTGTGGTAGTTAAACCTGGTAATCGCTACCACCCCCGCAGAAAGACCAAGTCAGGTCAGTCTCTAGCTGCAGAGAAACCAAGATGAACGCAGTAATCTGCAGGGCTTGACTCCCAGCACACCAAGATGAACGCTGAGGACATTTCTCTTGCCCTTTGCTATGGATGAGAACAGCACGTATTCTCCAGTCGTTTATGAAGCGCCACACCGTTCTTTTCCTGATAATCTAAGAGAGCTGAAGGAAAACAGGCACCCCGCTCTCCAAGAATGCTGTTCCTTTCCTGTAAGGGCGGAGGAAATCCCCTTCCACCCCCGGGAGGAAGAGGTAAGCAGGAGGAAGGAAACTGAATGTAATGGAAAGTAAACATGTCAACTGTGAAAACAGTAACCACCAGCGACTACAAAAATCTTTCCTTGTTATACTTAAGGACAACCAGCACAGTGGTACTTCAGTTATTCCGTGTTTACAGAGTTAAAACCCCCACAATTACTGGCCGTTAGTGCTGTTGTATTGTACACCTCCTCCCCTTCAACATCAAATACCATGATGACGGAGAAGTAAACACTGTCAAGATGAGGGATTGCTTAATTCTTCCAAAACGGTCACTGCTTAATGGCATGGACATCTTAACTTCATCTGCTGTAGGCCTTTACAAGCTACAGAAGGTAACAGAATACATGTTCCCCTGCTGTCATCACAAGTAATGGTGAGGATAAAAGTGAGCACACAGACACAGAACTGTTATATACAAAAAAAGTTTAATTGAAATACCTGTATAAAAAATATGATCTCCATACATTTCACACTGTTAAACAGAAGAAAAAAAAAATCCAAATCCAAGCTGCATAAATGCAACCAGATCACAGAAACACAGCTATTAAAATAAATTAAGGTTTATGACTCTGCCACTCTACCTTCCAGAGCCAATGCACGGAGACTGTACAATGTCAATAATTTAAAACCCTTCCAAACAGCATTACTTTACATTTCTGGTACAATAATACCAGACAAAAGGCATACTGACTAACTTTAAAAAGTCATTCTATTTCCCTTAAATTAGACTTTGTACAACAATTTTCCATCTTCCAACAAAAATTGATAAGGTCAGAAATTTTTTTTTTTTTTTTTTTTTTTAACCAAAAGTTGACAGGAATGCAGAAAAGAAGTGCCATGGGCAAACCACTAGAATTCCCATGGGGAGAAGGAGGGGAAAGCACAGTGTTGAGTAACTCTAACCAAATAAATTAACCAAATAAATAGCCACAGATGAAACCTGTGGGAGGTCTTCTAAACTCCAAACAATAAATAACTGTATAGTACATGGGAAAAACCAAGTTTACATAAACACATTATACAGGTATGGAAAAAAAAAAAAGTAAAGTCCTTGAATATTGCATTGATTGTGCATTCAACATGCCCATACATACTTTAAGACTCGCAGGGTGACAAAAGGCCAGGGGGAGTTGAGAAAGGGGCTTCTCATGCCCAATGGTAGAGATGATAAAAGGAAACATGAATAAATGTTTCTGATAAAAAAGCTGATATACCTGTTCATATTTCTGTGCAGGCTATAGGAAATATTTTGAGCAGCAGAGGTGGGTTGGATTTGGAAAGGGCCAGGGGGGCAGGAGTGAAATGTCTGTGTTCAAGTATTCCATCACCAGTGGATGGGACTACTTCATTCAATCACCGAACACGTTCTCCAATGCATCATAGGAGCTGCTTCCTCCAGCACTGAGTCTAAAGGGAGCAAATTCCTATAATGAACTGGATCTTCTTTGGACATACACAGCTCAAAAAAGAAAGTCCCACTGAAGCAGCTTTCAAAAAGGCACTCAAAAGCAAATAAAATCTAGTCCAGGCTCTATGAGAGCAAAAAAGTTTACCATGTATTCAAGAGGTCACTGCTTTCTTAATAAGGTCAGTCTTTGACTAAGTACTGGCCTGCAACTCCCAAACATCAGCGTTTCCAAAGGAAATCTCTCATTCCAAAGCAGAAACCAGCAAAGGGGGAAAATAAAATCAAGTCCCTCAGACAAAGATTCAACTACAGAATAATGAATGCATTTTTCTAGCCCCTCCTACGTATTGGCAGCAGCACTGTGGTCTTTCTGCTTGTAGCTCCCCTCCCAGTGCGAGGTCCTTAGTAATTCACAGACTCTCATTACTTGAGCTTGTGCTAGATACATCAGTATCAAGGGTCCGTAGCCTTATGTCACAGTCCTCAGACTTCACTACTTCAGATTTGTGCATCCATTGATGGTCAAAAATTTGCTCAAGTGTTGGTCTGTCTGAAGGCCTCAGTGAAAGGCACCATTTGATCAGCTGTTGACATTCTGTAACAAACAAACAAAAAGAGAAATTTAGACTAAGAAAGTAAAAAGACAAACCTGAATAAAAAAATCCACCCATATGAGCTCAAATGTACACGACTGTTTAAAAAAAAAAAAAAAAAAAAAAGCCCCCGCTTGACCCTATACAACTCACCAGGTGAAATTCTTCTCCTGAAATATAATCGTCCCCTCAAGATTTCTTCATCTTGCTCAAAAGGGATGTCTCCGCAACCCATATCGTACAGCAGAACTCCCAGAGACCATACTGTTGCTGACCTCCCATGGTATCTGTGGTATCTGATCCACTCTGGAGGGCTGTATACTCTCGTTCCTAAAAGCAGAGGGGGGAAAAAAAAAAAAACAAAACACAACAATAAAAATAAAGTCGAGGTTTAAAGCATTTTTCCCCACTTTCCAGCTCCTTCTAGTAGAGCTAAATTAAATTCATAAACTTGTCATTTGGGAGTAAAAAAAAAAAAAAAAAGCGCTTTATATTTTTTATGGGCCAAAGCCATTGGTGGTGTAATTTCAGGTCATCTGCGTGCAGGGTTACACCATCAACAGAGTTGGCCCATCCGGTTGTGCTATTTCGTTGCAGGGAATAACCCAGCCCCATCAGCTGACTGTTTACCCAGGCAAGCTCCCTTTCACTGACCACGTGGCGTCTGCAGCATCACACCAAAAATAGACACAAAAGGACAAAGGGGGCTGGCGGGGAGGAGACGAGAGGGCGGCGAGAAGGTGAAACGCGGGTCTGCCCGTATCACACCGGGCTAATCTGCTTTATCCAATTCCGCAAGGCAATAAACAAAATAGGGCCGCTTACGATTTCTATGTTTTTAAGCTGCCCCCCCCAGC